TGGCCAGACACTGCCAACCCAATCCGACCTGCTTGGCCTGGTACAATTCAGCAGCCCAGCCAGTGCTCGGGGGGGTGAACGCACCTAGGTGGCTGCAGCCATACTGCAGGTCTGAGGGCCACCCCCCCAGCTCTGCTCCTTTCTGCACCCCCAGAAAGCAGCAGAACCGCGGCGAACGCACTAGCCATGCCGGATGCGGAGAGCCAGAAGGCGTCACACTCCTCCCACAGACTGGCAGACGACAGGAAGTGAGGAGAGCAGCTTTCCCTGTGACCAGAAGGCAGCTGGCAGTCACCCTGGAGCAGCACTGACTATGGATGCTTGGGGGAGCCATGGTCCACCAGTACCTAACATCCCAGCTGCAGCAGAAGCTGCCTGGCCCCTTCTCCTTCCCAGGAGTCAGATCCATGTGACGGCCAGGCCTGAAATCCAGGCCAGGTGCTGGTCACCTCCCAGCTACCCCTGCATGGCTGGCACTAGTCTCTGAGCCTCTGCCCGCCACTCCCCCTCCCCCCACCCCCCAAGTGATCAGAACAGCTAACCTGCTGCATAGGTTCCCTGGACAGACCCAACCGTTCAGCAAGAGTGAAGGAAAAGCCTCGGTGGTCGCTCAGAGACTGGGGCTGGTTTATCACTGACGCATGCAGCCATGTCTGGCCAACGTGTCAAGCCCAGCGGCCCAGGAGCCTGCCATCACCACGACCACCCTGCAGCTGTACCTGAAGAGGGCCTTCTCCGCCCCCAGGATCTGCACCGTTGAGGCTGGGTACTTGGCCAGGTTCGTCAGGCTGCCGGCGTGGGAGATCAGACGGGCGCCCACCTGCAGACAAGCCAAGGAGACAAGCAGGGTGGTGAGAGAGCTGAGGCTCTACAATCCAGCTGCTTAGACTACAGGCCCCAGCATGCAATGCTGCATTCTGTGCCACCTGGGCACAGCCCTTGGTGGCCGGTTTGGGCCCTTCGGCTAGTATGGGCACGCTCCCCAGGGCACGGATCAGCAGTGACCGTGTCTCAGCACAGAGCTCAGTGGATTGACAGATTCACACTAGAACATCATTTCTGTGGCCTGGGAGAGCACAGATCACCCCCGCCCCAGCCCGAGGGCACTCACCACTTCCCCGATGAGAGCGGAGAGACTGGGAGCCACCTGGCCCATCTTGGAGCGCAGATACTCCTGCAGGCCCTTGCGGTACTCGGACAGCGAGATCACCCGGCTGGAGAAGCTCTCGATGTTGATGAGGTCGATGGGGGAGATATCCATCCCTGCAGAGAGCAGATGTCAGCGCACAACAAGAACAGCCACTAGGCCAGGGCAACCCCTGGGGGGCGCTGCAACCCTGGAACTGCCACCCCCAAGAGAAGCAGCAGGTCAGAGTCCTGAGCCTCCCCATTAACAGCAGCCAGTACTAGCCTATGGGGTTGGGGAGAGAATTCCTCCCCTGACCCCCCGCCCCTCCCCATCAGCCTCTGCTCAGTGCATGCTTGTCCTAATCAAGAAGGAACAGGTCAGATGATATGGGGAGCCCAGAGCAGCCGTGCCCCCCACACTCCCCCGAGCCATGTGCAACATATTCATGAGCCCTCAGACCCTGGTGTCAGCACTACTGACCTGCCCCTCCCCCCCATCCCATGAGCCCTTATACCCCGGTGCAGAGACCCCGATGCCAGCACTACTGACCTCTCCCCCCCCCCCCC